GGAATCAGACAGAGTCAGCAGAAATCTAATTCTGCAATGCTGCCAAGAAGAACACAGGTGACCTCACGCTGAGCACATGGTGGCCTTGGGACTGATAACCACAACCCCTCAGGTTAAAGAGTCTGGTCCCCTTAATTCCTTCAAGACAGTGGCTCAAATACCAGAACAGACTTTGCCAAGTCTGCCCTTAGGCCAACACACAAAACTAGCATTTCCCAGGGTGCTTTTATCAGAGACTCAGAAAAGGTATTAGACTGGATCCAACACCCAAAAGGCCCACCTCCAACCTAAACAAACAAAAACACACACATGAAATGGAAAATTACTTTTGTGGAGGAGTTTTATCCTGTGTGCTTCTTGCAGACAGGTTTTCCACTAAAGTTTGTTGGGTTTTCGTTTGTTTTGGTTTTTGAAGACAGGATTTCTAAATTTAGTCCTTGCTATCCTGGAACTCACTTTGTAGACCAGGTTGGTCCTGAACTCAGAGATCCACCTGCCTCTGCCTTCCAAGAGCTGAGATTAAAAGTGTGCGCCACTACTGCTCGGCCCACTGAGGATTCTTTCAAGCCATGCTAACGCTGGACTGGCATGTGCAGTCAGCATCTGTAAGGATGACATCTCCCATCAAGCATCACTGTATGATTTCTGGCTCTTCATTTCTACCTGGACACGGGAAATAGCAGGTGGAGTCATGTGCTGATGACGATTACAGAGTGGCTGGATGTGGGGGCACAGAGGTGTGTGGCAGGCTTTCTTTCGGGACACCAACCAGCTCCCAAATCATGACATGGAGACAGTAGTTATGAATGCTCTGCCTTATCTTATGCTTGTCTACTGGCTCTTATAACTTAATTTAACCTGGGGGGGGGCACCTTTCATTCTGTATGTCCTTCTTTCACTGCTTCTTCGGTGTCTGGCTGGCTGGGGTGCAGCACAATTAGTAAAAACCCAAAGACAGATATTGGAGTTCAAGCTGAAGATCAGAAAAGCAAAGCAAACAGCCATTTAGAGTTCTTACTCTATCAAGGCTGGGCAATCCTGTGTCAGCACGACTGATAAATGAGTGCTGCATGAGACCCTGAGCTCATACCTCTCTAGTGCGGGATTAAAGGCATGTACCACTAATGCCGTGCCTCTACGGCTGTGGCTATCTTTGCAGTCAGATCCTCAGACAAGCTTTATTAGTTCATAAACAATATGATGGCTGGCTGGCTGCCCCTGGGTATTCCCCTCTCTTTCTTCCCCAATGCTTCTCTCTCTGGTTCTCTCAACTCTGCCTGTGTCCCAATTCACTGCAGGGACAAGGACATGCAGCTCATTTTCAGCCAGATCCTGCAAATGCAGCATTTGCAGGCTCAGGGTGGCTGAGGACAGAGCTCAACTGTTCAGTCTCCATCCTACACTTCTGAAAGTTGAAGCCTTAGGGACAACCTCCAGGGTAATGAATGGGAGTCATCAGGCAACTGGCAGCCCAGCTTGGGAACTTACTGTTGTAGCTAGGGTTTCTATTGCTGCAACAAAACACCATGACCAAAAAGCAATCTGGGGAGAAAAGAGTTTATTTGGTTTATACTTCCAGATCATACTCCATCATTGGAGGAAGTCAGGATAGGGACTCACACAGGGCAGGAACCCAGAGGCTGGGTCATGGAGGGAGCTGCTTATTCCCCATGGCTTGCTCAACCTGCTTTCTTATAGAACCCTGGAACCACAAGCCCAAGCATGGCACCATTCACAATGGGCTGGACACTCCCCCACTGATCACTAATTGAGAAATGTCTGGATCTCATGGAGGCATTTCCTCACCTGAGGCTCCTTCCTCTCTGGTGACTCTAGCTTATGTCAAGTTGACATACAAAGCCAGCCAGTACAACTAACCCCTTGTCAACTTGCCACACAAACACATCACTATTAATCCACAACCTTTCCTTTCTTATTTATCCCAAAATCTCATAGTAAAAACTTAAATAACTTTAAAAGTTCCACAATCTTTACAAGTTTAAACACAATAAAGTCTCTTTAAATTGGCCAATCTCTTTTAAAATTCAAAGTCTCTCAACTGTGGGCTTTAGTAAAATACTTCCTTACTTTGAGAAGGAATATCAGGGCACAGTCACAATCAAATAAAAACAATACCAAATTTCAACCATCCAATATCTGGGATCCACTCACGATCTTCTGGACTCCTCCAAGGGCTTGGGTCATTTCTCCAGCTCTACAGCACACACAACTTGTCTTCTGGGATCTGCCTGGCTCTACTCCACTGCTCTTACTGTTCTTGGCAGGTATCCCACGGTACTGGCATCTCCAAAATGCTGGTCTTCTGCCCTAGCTGGGCTGCACTTTCACCAACAACCTATCATAACCCCTCCCATGGTGCCAACTCTCAAATCCTTTGCATGACCCCTTCATCCTGGGCCTTCAACTATTTTTGAGGCTGTACCTTCACCAGTGGCCTCTCCTAGCCTCTCACAGTGCCAAGCCCCAACTGCTCTCCATGACCCCTTCATGCCTTCAAAACAAGCACCACCTGGGTGACTCTCACACATTGCCAATTTCTGCTGCCAGCACCAGGTACAACCTTGGCCACCTTTGGAGCACAGCTTTCCAGTGCACTCAGGAAGCTTTTCCCAGATGAGTTCACCTCACTGATGCTGGTCTCTTCTTAATCATTTCTAATTTCTTAGCTCCAGCTGGTCAGCATCAAGTATCCCAGCAAAACAAAGCTTCACTTTAGTAGTTCTGGTCACTTATTAATCACAGATAATTCTTCAGCACCAGCTAACCAGAACCACAGGATCTTAACTCAAAATAACAGATGCCCCAATAGAGTCTTTACTATTCCCTCTGAAACTACACAAGCCATCCTCTGTACTGCTCTCAACATTTTTTTTAAAGATATATGTATTTATTATGTATACAGTGTTCTGCTTGTACACCAGAAGAGGGCACAAGATCTCATTAGAGATGGTTGTTAGTCACCATATGGTTGCTGGGAATTGAACTCAGAACCTCTGGAAGAGCAGCCAGTGCTCTTAACCTCTAAGCCATCTCTCTAGCCTGCTCTCAACATTCTCATCTCCCAAGCTCCCACAGAACATTCCAAAGTCCTTGCACAATCCTCTCCAAAACATGGTTAAGTTTGTCACAGCAATACGCCACAATCCTGGTACTAACTTGTCTTAGTTAGGGTTTCTATTGCTGCAACAAGACGCCATGGCCAAAAAGCAATTTGGGGAGGAAGGGATTTGTTTGGCTTACACTTCCAGATCTTAGTCCACCATTGAAGGAAGTCAGGACAGGATCTCAAGCAGGAAAGAATCCTGGAGGCAGGAGCTGATGCACAGGACATGGAGGGGTGCTGCTTACTAGCTTGCTCCTCATTGCTTGCTTGCTCAGCCTGCTTTCTTATAGAACCCAGGACCACCAGCCCAGGGATGGCACTACCTACCATGAACTGAACCCTCCCCCACTGATCACTAATTGAGAAAATGCCTTAGAGCTGGATCTCATGGAGTTATTATTTCCTCAACTGAGGCTCCTTCCTCTCGGATGACTCTAGCTTGTGTCACGTTGACACACAACCAACCAGTACACTTACCAATGATGCCCATTTGATCCCATCACACAATGGCTCCTTACACTCTGGGCCTCTGGTTCCCATCACTCTCCAAAGGCTGGCATGTTACAACTTCTGATATGCCACCTACATCACAACCATCCACCCAGGAGTACAAGCTCACCGTGAGAGGAAAACATAACCAGTGTGGAACACAGAGTGAGGTCAGGGGTGAGGCTCAGAGGCAGTTTGAGCTTCTGGACCCAAACCTTAGTTATGGCAACAAACAAGAGTGCAATGCACTATTTAAAGAAACCAGGAGATTGAGTTGTGACTCAGGGGTAAAGACCCTACCTAGAAAATCCCAGTGAAGGGCTGAGAGTTGGCATGGTGTCCTTGAGGCTCTGGGCTCTGTCCCCACCAGTTTTTTGTTTGTTTGTTTGTTTGTTTGTTTGTTTGTTTTTCAAGACAGGGTTTCTCTGTGGCTTTGGAGCCTGTCCTGGAACTAGCTCTTGTAGACCAGGCTGGTCTCAAACTCACAGAGAACCACCTGCCTCTGCCCCCCACCCTGAGTGCTGGGACTAAAGGTGTGCACCACCAATGTCCCGCCCCACCAGCATTTTTTAAAAAAGTGAATAAATAAGCCCAGGCTGGATTCTCTTGTTCTTTATCTTTTCAATACTTTGTCCATCTTGGCATTTTTTATTTTGTTTTGGTGTGTGTGTGTGTGAATTGAATTCAGGGCCCTATGTCCTAATCTTCTATGCTTTTCTTTTTTCTTTTTTTCATTTTGAGGTGGAGGTTTCCCTGTGTACCTCAAGCTGGAGCGAAAGTCACAGATAGCCGTCTCAGCCTCCCATGTATTGAGATGATGGGTGGCAATAGTCATGCCTGAATTTCCATTTTTCTTCATCACTTCCTGGCAGGGCCCCTGCTCCTGTCTCTCCCCATTTCTGGGCAAACCCCCCCAAATCCCCAGAAAACTCTAGGCTCTCTTGATCCTGAAGGGAGGGGTGTGGCCTGGAGTTCCCAGGGACTCCAGCCTGTCCTGGGGGTTTCCTTGGGTGTTCTGAGTAGCTGTGCTGCACAGTTCAGTGTCCCTGGGCCTGGGGACTATCTGGGGGTGGCAACTGCTCCCTGTTGTCTGGGGCCTGATATCGTTTTGGGGAGATGTGGGTGGTAACAGGGCTACCACTCTGCACTGGGACCAGCCTCTGGGCCAATGGCCCCTGTCTCTCTGTCTCTCTCTCCCTGTTTCTCAGTCTCTGTGTCTCTGTCTCTGTCTCTCTCTCTCTCTTCCCTCCTCCCCCCCCCCAGCATATCTGCCCTCTGCTTCATCCACCATCCTGGGGCTTCCCCATCAGCCGGAAGTAAGGTCACTCAGTGACTTCTCCCTTTTGGGGCCCTCCCCCTGCTCCCACTTCAAGGCCTTTGACACTCACACACAGGCAGCTGGTGACAGAGTCAGGGTTCCCGCTCCTGCCCCACACACTGGGCGACTGAGCCACACAGGGCAGGTCCTCATCCAGGACCTGGCTCCCTTTGCCCTTTCTCCAAGTCCCTCAACTCAAGAGAACAGAGGCACAGGCATGTCCCCGCGGCTCCTCCTGTCACTGGCTCTCTGGGCTAGCTGCTCCTCTGGCAATGCAAGGACAGGTAGGTGGACACATTGGGGATTGGGGTGCCTGGGCCAAGGGACCAGCCCTTCACTTTCAGTCTTATGTCATATCTGGAGTCGGGTGGGACCTGTTCCCATTCCGATAAACGGATGGGGAAAACTGAGGCACAGAGAGGCAAAGCCTCATTTATCCAAAGCAGGGGTACCCTTGAACTTAGAGGTTTGTGGAGATAAGCAGTTGACTCTCAGCAACCACGAAGTTTCACCTTTGTGACTCAGCTGTAGGAGATGCTGGATGGGATGGTGAACACCTGTCGTGCTATACTCAGGAGGCTGAGGCAGGAAACTTAGGAGTTCAAGACCAGCCTAGGCTACATAAGACCAAAAAAGGAAAGGAAAAAAAGAGGGGGTGGTAAAAAAAAAAAAAAAAAAAAAAGTTTTCTCATCTAGAAAATGGACTCAGTTGAGGCCCTGGGGGTTTGTAGCAGATTTGGTAGCTCATGTTTCTGTGCATAACAGAAAGCTCACCGCCCTTGTTTCTCCGGCCCTAGCTGCTCTGAGCCAGCCCAGGGTACGATGCCGTGCCTCTAGGTACCCTATGGCTGTGGACTGCTCCTGGACGCCATTGCGGGCTCCCAACTCCACCAGAGCCACATCCTTCATCGCCACTTACAGGTCAGAGAATAAATAGAGGGGCCAGGACGACACACGGGGAACCAACAGATTCCAGTGTCCCACTCCACTCCGGGATCTGAGACAGCCTGTGTGGGGTGTGGATAATGCAGGGAGTTCTTCAGAATCCACACTCCCTCTGAGCGTGTCTGGGTCTCACAGTCTGTTGTGGCTGAGCTGGGGCTGCGCGGACACCCTTTGCAACCCCCCACGATGCTTTCTACGCAGGGTTGGTGTGACCGCCCAGCAGCCAAGTCTGCCCTGCCTACAGCCGACCCCGCAGGCCACACAGTGCACTATCCCTGACGTGCACCTGTTCTCCACGGTGCCCTATGTGTTGAATGTCACTGAGGTGCATCCCAGCGGCGCCAGCAGCAGCCTCCTGGCCTTTGTGGCTGAGCGGATCAGTGAGTATCTGTCCTCCCCGCCCCTTGCAGTCCCTGCCTTTCACCACAGGCCACCCCCACCCAAGCCTCCCTCCTCTCTACTCCAGCCTCACTCATCTCCTATCACTTCCCCAACACCCCAGACTCCACCCTGCCGGCAGCATTTGTGTGGCTTAATTCCTTAGCCTTCTTAGGTCACTGCTTGGGCATCAGCCCCTCGGTGAGCCCTCCCCCCCCCCAAAGTATATTATTAAACAAGTGAAAGTTGAGGTTAAGGGAGAACAAAAGCTGGGGTTGGTGTACACACAGGGCTTTAATCCCAGAGGCAGGCAGATCTCTGGGAGTTCAAAGCCAGCCTGGTTTACAGAGCAAGTTCGAGGTAAGTCCAGTTCAAGAACCACAAGACTGTCACTAGCAGAAAAGAAAGAAGGGGGAAGAAGGAAGGAAGGAAGGAAGGAAGGAAGGAAGGAAGGAAGGAAGGAAGGAAAGGCAGGTGAAGGGGTGAAGGTCAGTGAAAGGCTACACTGCCCTCAAAGGGTTAAACATGGATCTCCCCCAGGATCTGACAACTCCAGTCCCAAGTATCTGCGCAACAAAAATAAAAATGTTCATCCCTGCAAATCCTTGGCAATCTTACTCACAGCATCCAGAAGGGGGCAGCTCATGCCACCTGTCCTTCCATGAATGGACACAGTGTCTGTCTTATACAGTGCAACACCACTCAGCCTGAAGAATGAGGCTCTAGCGCCAACTACAGTGCGGGGGACCTTGATGACACAGTGCAACCCAGACACAAACCATACCTCAAGGACTCCAGGACAGGGGCATCCAGAGTCAAAAGGAGATCTGTGGATGCTGAGGGCTGGGGACAGGGAGGGAGATGACTCATGGGTGTAGAGTTTGTTTTAACATAAAGCAGTTCTAGAGGCAGGCAGAGAAATGGTAACACTCTCTGACCACGAACCTATGTCCTCCGGCAGTCTTGTGCTTTCAGAATGGTGTCCCGGAAAAGCCCGTCAGCCCACTCAGGATTTGCACTCTGAAATTGTTTCTTTGTCATGACTTCTGCCAGCAGTGATCATGGCTAATCACCAAAGGCTTGCCCCTTCAGCAGATGGGTGAATGAATGGGTGAATGAATGAATGATACGGTGAATGAGTAAGAGCAGAACGAGTGAGGAAATGAATACCTGAATGACTTAATGGTGCAATAAAAGCATGAATAAGTGTACAAATGGATAAGTGAAGAAACTAATAGGTTCAATGAATGAATGACAGCGACCTAGTTAATGAATCAGTGACTAGATCTGCACATGAACCAAACAATAAATAAATGTGAGTGAGCAGGAGACAAAAGCAAATTAAGGAATTAGTGAATGAACAAGTGGAGGAATGAACTGATGGTATGAATGAATGAGTAAATAGCAGCAAATGCATGAATAGGTGTCTGAAGGCGAGAGCGAATGTATGATTGAATGAAGGAGAGAATCAGTGCCTAATGGATGAACCAGCATAGTCGCTCCTGACCCCGCCCCCTGCTTCCTGCAGTCAAGCCCGACCCCCCAGAAAGTGTACGCCTGCGAGCAGCGGGGCAGCAGCTGCAGGTGCTCTGGCATCCCCCTGCCTCCTGGCCCTTCCCGGACATCTTCTCTCTCAAGTACCGTGTCCGCTATCGGCGCCACGGAGCTGCTCACTTCCGCCAGGTGAGAAGGGGCTGGGAGAGGGTGAGACGGGATTCCCCCGGCATCCTCTAGTCTCCACCTCCCGCCTCTCTGTGGGAGCGCTGAGATCACGTAAACTGCAGCTGGTTTACCTGAGTGCTGGGGTTTCGAACTCACAGCAAGCGCTTTACCCCTCAGGCGAGCTCCCCGGCTCCCGGTACATCCTGATCCTTCCCAACGCCTCCTCTCTTCTGGCAGGTGGGACCCATTGAAGCCACGACTTTCACCCTCAGGACCACGAAGCCCCACGCCAAGTACTGCATCCAGGTGTCAGCCCAGGACCTCACGGACTATGGAAAACCAAGTGACTGGAGCCTCCCTGGGCAAGCAGAGAGGCCGCCCCAGAAGCTCTGAAGAGGGACTAGAATCTTGATAGCTGACCCTCATGTGCTGGGATGCTTGGCAGAGTTGGGCAATTGACTTGACCTCTCCAGACATCAATTTCCAAACCTGTGGGGATATTATTTCTCCTTCCATCAGTGCTGGGATTTGTGAACTGTAAATGTGATTAGAAACTTTTAATAAATAATTATTTTTAGTCTGGCAGTGGTAGTGCACGCCTTTAATCCCAGCACTTGGGAGGCAAAGGCAGGCGGATCTCTATGAGTTCGAGGCCAGCCTGGTCTACAGAGTAAGTTCTAGCACAGCCAGGGCTACACAGAGAAACCCTGTCTTGAAAAACCAAAACCAAAACAAAGTTATTATCATTATGGGGGGCGGGGCCATTCGGGCCAGGACTTCTTTGTTCTACCCCAAGCTGGCCTCAAACTCACAGACAACCTCCTATCTCAGCCTCCAGAGGACAGGGATTAAAGACGTACGCCAATTACCGCCCAACAATAATTATTAAAAAATGTCTATTTTCAAATTTTAAATATTTTAATTTCATTTTCAAATATGTGCGTGTAGGAGATGCTTGAGTGCCCACGGCGGCCAGTAGAGGGCGCCAGAGCACTGAAGCTGGTGTGACCGGTGCTCTGAAGCATTAAGCCACCTGTCCAGCCTCTTGTCCATCTTGTACCCTGAGTGAGCGACATTGTGGGTTGTCTGTGTTCGAGTGCCCACGATCCCCAAACAAGGCCTTTATGAGGAAAAGAAGTTGAAGTGGCTCAATGTTCAGGAGCCTGGGAGGAGCCAGCACAGTGCTAGCTTCCAGAAGGAATTCCACGTGGTACAATGCCTAAAAGTGGAAGGATTAGGAAGCTCACGGGTGAGAGAAAGGGCGGGGATAAAACAAGCAAGGTGTAAGGCCCAGGTTCCCCTGCAAAAAGAAAGAGGGAGAGGGGTTACCAGTAGGTGAATGTTGAGGGACACACACACACCATAGCACCTGTTTCCCCAGCTGAGAGACAAAAAGATGCAGTCCAGCCTCGTTGAAATGAGGACAGAGGGAAAGAATAGTGGGAAACTAAAAGCCAGCCTGGGAGACCCTGTCTCAAAAAAGAATAAGAGGAGTAGGGACGGGGGCTGACTCAGGGCTGGAGCCTCTGCCTAGGATCCCGAGGTAAGGGGCTGCGGTCAGCGCTCAATGGCAGGGGCTTGCCATAGTTTGTACGCACAAATAATAAATAAGCAAATGTAAAACCAGTCTATGCCTGGCTTGGTGGCACACACCTTTAATCCCAGCACTGGAATGGCAGAGGCACGTGGATCACTGAGATTTCAAGGACAAGCTGAACTATGTAGTGAGTTCCTGTCTCACAAAAGAGGAAAAAAAGGAAAAATACAAACCAACAACAACAAAGCGTAATGAAAACCAGGCAGGTCACTGATTTCCAGCTACTCAAGAGACTGCAGTATGACTGCTACAAGTTTAAGGTCAACCTGGGCCACAAATACCCTCTGGGCATTTTACAGAGATGCTGTCTCAAAAGGTTAGAGGGCTCAGTGGTAAGAGTGCCCGCCTGGCGTGTGCTGCAAAAACCCTGTGCTCAATCCCCAGCACCAGTAATGAAGGAACGAACGAACGAAGAAATAACAGAGCGGCGCAAGAATAACAGTGCAGCGCAAGGTGGCCACGTCTTTAATCACAGCATTCGAAAGGCACTCTGTGAGCTCGTAACCAGCCTGGGCTACATGGTGAATTCCAGGACAGCCAGGGCTACACGTGAGGCCCTGACTCAAAAACAAACAACATCAACAGAGCAGCGGTGCGGGACAAAAATCTTATTGACTCCCGATAGCTTTCTCTGCTTTTCCCAGCGTGGCTCACACTAACACTTGCAAACTTGAGGCTCCCGGAACCTTTATTTACTGCCACACTTACGGGCACTCAGGAAGGAAACGAAAGAGCACACGCGACTTTGATCGACAGAGATTACAGCCAATGAGAGTGTTAAAGCCTGTTAGCTACAGCCAGTAAGATGGCCGAGGAAGTGACGTCAAGAGAACGGCGGCACCTAGTCGGATAAATTCCGAGAGGACCAACGCGAACAGCTTCTTTGCTTGTGCGACGGGCAGGAAGCGAAGATGTCGGAACGGAAAGTTCTAAACGTAAGTGCTCAGAGTCTAGATGTTTCTGCCGAGAATGTGACGTCCGTGATCTCCGGGAGAGACTCGCTTCCTTCCAGTTATTTCCTTTGGAATTTCTCCCCAACTGGTTTCCGTGGGGCGGAGCTTCCCAAGTCTCTTGCCAATCACGTTTCTTAGGGGCGGTGTTAGTTTATGTTTCCCTTCCGGCTTAGAAGATAATCCTCACCAGGCGAGAGGAGCTTATGTCACTTCATCCGATTGGTTTTTCTAAAGGAAGCTATCCAATCGCTTTTTCCTGGGGGGGGGGGGGGGTTTGCTGTTGGTGGCCTCAGTTCGTCCCAGTTTTTGTGAAGCGAATATCAGATATCTCCTGGCCGCGTTTTCTACACCAGTTTGAGTGACTGGGATGCAAGGACTCAGTTCCGTCTCTTGAAAAACTTTCCTCTCCATTTCCTGGATTTTTTTGTGCTTTGTTTTTAGTCAGTGCCTCACTATATAGCCCAGAATGGCCTCAGGTTCAGACCCACCTGCCTGAGCCTCCCAACTGCTGGCTGGGTTAGAGTCATATACCCCTAAGATGGGCTATATTCAGTTTTTAAAGATTTGACTATTTTAAAAAAAAAAAAATGTTTATTATGTACACAGCATTCTGCCTGTATGTAGATCTACAGGCCAGAAGAGGGCACCAGATCCTATTATAGATGGTTGCTGGGCATTGAACTCAGGACCTCTGGAAGAGCAGCCAGTGCTCTTAATCTCTGAGCCATCTCTCTAGATTTACCTATTTTTATTTTATGTTTGCTTGCATTCGTCTGACTGCAAACTCAATTCTTCATCAGCCTGTGATGGTATGACAGGCATACATCACCATGCCAACATCCTCCTGAAATCTTGGCAAAGCTTTCATCAAGCAAGGGAGACTTCCCCTCCCTGTGGGTCTGGCTGCTAGCAGGTGTCCAAAGCAGAGCACCTCCTTGCTGGTGGTCCACAGTTTCTTTTTGGCTTTTTTGAAGGAAAGTTTGTCATTCTCCACCCCCCACTGTCTCACACACCCTCACTCCTCCACCCCTGCCTCACACTCCTAGGTGCTGGGATGGTGGGTGTGGGAATTAGCATGGTCTCTGTAATCCAAAGTGGCTATGTCTGTGTGTCTCACCCCAGCTCCCCAAGTACACAGAGAGGAGATTCACTGGCCAGATTTTACCCTGGGATGGTGTCCAGGAAGGAGCCTGTGTGGTTCCCTAGTCCAAGCTAGACCATCATCGACAATGCCTGGTTTATGTTGGGCTCCAGTTATCTCCTGAACATCTAGAGTCTTATAATGTACTGGGCAAAAGGAGTCCACCCCCACTGTGAATCCTGGGCCTCTAGAACTTTACCTAGAAGGTGTATCACAGCTTGGGAGCAGCATGCTCCCTGTGATTTGTCTGGGAGAACATTCTGGAAGCTTGTGCACTCCTCCTTGTCCCAACTTCTCATGGATACTTCAAGTATCCATGTCTAGAAAGGCATGAATAACATGAATCCTGGGCAGATCCCTGAAACTGGAGTATCTTGGGTCCTTTGGCATGGCTCTCAGATCCCCTTTCTGCCCATGTGGGACCTGAGTACAGGAAAACAGAAGCATCCCCTTCCCCTGCAGAAATACTACCCACCTGACTTTGATCCGTCGAAGATCCCGAAACTCAAGCTACCCAAGGACCGGCAGTATGTGGTTCGACTGATGGCCCCCTTCAACATGAGGTGAATCCCCAAGGGTGTGAGTCCAGGGCTGGAGTGTGTGGAGAAACAGCAAACAAGGATGAAATCCCCATCCTCGTAAAGTTCCCAGCCCCCATCAGAAGACCTCAGTGGACAGTCAGGCTTTTGGTCCCTCTAGTGGGCAGCACTTTCTCCTGTCCCAGGGTCTTTGCACCAGCTGTGGCCTCTGCCTGTGGTTCTCGAGTCAGTGGATGCTCCCCTCCTCACAGAGCCCAGCTCCCCCTCTCATCCTAGACAGGCTGCCAGCCTCCCCATTTGCACCTGCCTTGATAACTGTGAACACTTAGAAAGCATTTAGTTGGTGCTGGCTTACAGTAATAGAGGCTCAGTCCATTATCATGGTGGGGATTATAGAGGCTTACTCCATTATCATGGTGGGGAGCATGGCAGCAGGCATGGTGCTAGAGAAGTAGTAGGAAGCTACATCCTTCCACAGGCAGAGGGAGATGAGAAACGCTGGACCTGCCGTGGACCTTTGAGACCTCACAGTCCAACCCCAGTGACACATCTCCTCCAACAGGGCCACACCTCCTAATCCTTCCAAGTAGTATCACCTCCTGGTGACTAAGCCTTACAATGTCTAATGCTATAGAGGCCAGTCTTATTCAAACCACCACAATCCTCCAACAAGCAGTAGTCAGGTACCTGCCGTTGGTCCAGGACATGGCCCCAACCTCATGATGCTCACAGGCTAGTGTGGAGTGGGAATGGTGCCCATCCACTGGTAGTCACAGAAGGACACATGAGGCAGGGCAGCTGAACAGACAGGAAGTGTTAGAATCTCAGGCTGTGGGATATGCAGAACGAAGGCACTGAGGTAGGACCAAGCCAGCGTGGCAGGAAGGGAAGAGGTAGCACAGTGCAGGATCCTGCTGTCCTGTTTGGGGTCTCAGAAACCCCACACACCCAGGCAGGTTGGTCTTCCTGCCCCTGGAGGTACATATGCTGTGGTTGGGTGCTGGAGCAGAGTTCAGAGATGCTCACATGTCTGCCCTGGCTCTGCAGGTGTAAGACATGTGGAGAATACATCTACAAGGGGAAGAAGTTCAATGCACGAAAAGAAACAGTCCAGAATGAGGCTTACCTGGGCCTGCCTATCTTCCGCTTCTATATCAAGTGCACAAGATGCTTGGCTGAGATCACCTTCAAGGTAGGGGCTGAGGACACCCCACAAAGGTACAGAGGGAAGGTGCTTGCAACAAGACCCCCACACACCAAAAAGCCTGTCCACCCGCGTGTGTGCAGTGTGGGATGGGTGCATAGGTGATTGTTACAGGGCCAGGAACATCACTCTGGTGCTTTTGTTTGTTTAGTCAGTCTCCTATAGCGCAGGCTGGCCTCGAACTCCTGTGCAACCAGAGTGCCTCCACCTCTGGTGCTGGGATGAAAGGTGTGTTGCCACATATGTCTAAAAATCATGGTTTGCTTTTGTGTTTCTTGGGATAGAAGCCAGGGCTTCACAGGCCCCTGGCAAAAACTAGAGAATGCAGGAAAGGACCAGAGAAGGCGAATTCTCTTCTCAGGTCTGCACCAATAGAGATTATGGGTTTGGTTGGTTTTCACTGTAAGCTTTTTTTCTGTAAGTGAACAAAACATAAGCTTGAAGAAGTTACATTTTTATTTCAAATGTGTATCTCTGGAATGTCTCTGTGTGTGCCTGGTAATTTGAAAGCCACAAGGGGCGTTGGGTGCCCTGGGACTGGCATTACAGGTGGTCATGGGCCATCATGTGGGTGCTGGGACCTGAACCCTGGTCTTCTGCAAGAGCAGCCAGTGTTCTAATCCCTGGGCCATCCCCTCATACCCTATTTTTAGCAAAGTCCTCATTACCCCAGGCTAACCTCATTCATGTCATAGCTCCCTGCTTCCACCTCCTAGACGGACACACACACATGAAGTCAACTGTGTAGTTCATAAGCAAGCAGCTCTTCTGTGTAAGTCATAAGCAAGAAGATAAGGGTAGATGTGTGCACGGCCGGGAAGCCTGAAGGTGCAGGTGCAGAGGGCACAGATGGGAGGGGGCAAAGAAAAGAAACTGCAGAGGGAATGGAGAAATGCACACAGAGGTACAGTCCACTGCCTGGAGCTCTCACTGATTCTGTCCCCTCCCCTTTCCTCACAGACAGACCCAGAAAACACAGACTACACCATGGAGCATGGGGCCACACGAAACTTCCAGGCTGAGAAGCTCCTGGAGGAGGAGGAAAAGCGTGTGCAGAAGGAGCGTGAGGACGAGGAGCTGAACAACCCCATGAAGGTGAGCCTTAGGTGGCAGCGCCTTCACCCCTCCCTCTCGTGGAAGGCCCATGTTCCCCATCACCTGCTGATGAGCAGCCCCTTGGCCCATGCTCCCCTCCTCCACCCAGGCCCCTCACCCGTCCTGCACCCCCAGGTCCTAGAGAACCGAACGAAAGACTCAAAACTGGAAATGGAGGTGCTAGAAAACCTGCAGGAGCTGAAGGACCTGAACCAGCGGCAGGCACACGTGGACTTTGAGGCCATGCTGTTGCAGCACCGCCTGTCACAGGAGCAGCGGCGACAGCAGCAGGAGGAAGAAGACGAGCGGGAGACTGCGTGAGCAGCCCGGGTCTTTCTGGCTCTTCCCATGGCTGCCCGTCCCCTCATCTCAGAGCCCCTCCTGTCCTGTCCCCTCAGACTCTACTCAGGCACAGCTGCTCAGACCCTCAGGGTCCAGTGTCTTATGAGCATCACTGGCTTTTCGTTTGGTCCCACGGCTGTGCATTTGTTGTTTGAAACAGGGTCTCGTTTAGTTCAGGCTGGCCTCAAAATCACTAAGTAGCCAAGGATGGCCTTGAACTCATCCTTCATTGTCCACCTCCCCAGAGCTTGAGTGGTAGACATGTGCCTCTGCACCCAGCTTATATATACTTAATTATTTCTGTGGTGCTGGATATGGACCTAAAGCCTCATGTGTGCCAGCCAAATCCTTAGCCCCTGAGCCACTGCCTTAAAATTATTAGCTATTGCCCCCTGCTCCTGCTCCTCACCCTCTGAGAGCAGAAAGAGGCAGCAGCCCCTCCATGCTGCAGCAGAGACCCCTGGGGACCATCCCTGCAGTGGGTCCTCACTGTCCACCTTCTAGGGCCTTGCTGGAGGAGGCTCGTCACCGCAGGCTTCTGGAGGATTCCGACTCAGAAGAAGAAGCGCCGCCTTCCCGACCACGGGCAGCTTCAAGACCCAATCCCACAGCCATCCTGGATGAGGTGAGCAGGCCCAGAGTGTGGAATGTGGGTGCCCAGGCTGAGGGGCCATGGGCAGCAGGACTGTTCATAACAGGACAGACAGCCCAGTGTGGCTTCAGCACTCTGCTTCCTGCTTCTGAACCTCAGGGAGGGAGTAGCCAGGGAAAAGTCCACCAAGGGTAGGGAGAAACTCAGGGTGCCTGCCCCATGAGCCCAGTGCTTGTTAAAAGCCAGATACACTGGTCGTGGTGACATGCACCTTTAATCCCAGCACTTGGGAAGAGAAGCAGGTAGATCTGTGCTGTTTGAGGTCAGCCTGAGCTACATAGCAAGAGCCTGTCAAGGCGGTGGTGGTGCATACCTTTAGTTCCAGCACTTGGGAGGCAGTGGCAGGCAGATCTCTGTGAGTTCGAGACCAGCCTGGTCTACAAGAGCTAGTTCCAGGACAGCCTCCAAAGCCACAGAGAAACCCTGTCTCCAAAAAACAAAAAATAGAGCCAGATGCAGCCCAGCAGGCCGGGGACCCGGCACCAGGAAGGCAGAAGTGGGAGAGTCCTGGGTTGTGCTGAGTGGGATCTGCAAGTCACTGAGAGACATTACCTCAGAAACCGTGATGGTGTCAACTGATGAAGACAGATGTCAGCCTCCACACGTGGGCACAGTGAACAGCACAAAAGCTCAAGAACCAAGATCCAGTCCACAGGATATGAAAGATGAAGGGTATCCCTAAGTCCCGTCACGGTTCTGGGTGTGTCCAGAACTTTGCAACTGCTCAGGCCCCAGCTGTTGAAGGTCCTAGTGTCTTCTAGCCTCTTCTGGCTGGATCCAGATGTGAGTTGCCAGTGCACACACTCAGCTTTTAGGTCAGCAGACAGCCTCAGGCATGTGTGGCCTCTCCTCCCACCCTGGTTGAGATAGGGCCTCCTCTTATAACTGTGTAGACCAGGCCCACTGACTCCCAGGATTCTCTTGTCTCAAATTCCTATCTCCCATCAGTGCTCAGGTCCTCATTCTTCAGGCAGGTATATGCTAACCCACTGGGCACTCTTCCCAGGCCCCTGTGATCTTCCCATGTGGAACCCAGACTTGGTCTGATTCTGTTTGTTTTGTTTTTCTTTAAAGCAGGTTCACACTCCATAGCCCATTCTGACCTCAAACCCACAGTCCTCCTGCTTCAGCCTCCCATGAGCTGGGGTGACAGGCCTGCACATTATACCTCACTTCTTCACTCCCCAGAGCCCTGTAACAGTGGCATACAGCTGTCATATCAGCACATGGGGAACCCAAGGCCAGCATGGGCTGCAGGTTGGACATTTACAGTGTGCCAGGAGCTGTTGATGACACTAGGGAGATGGCAAAAAGAACAGTTGTGGGCCCTGGATATACTACAGTTTTTGAGACCATACATAGGGCAGGGACTTGAGATGGGTACCTCATCACAGGATGAGAAGTCCTCAGATGCCACCTTGGGAACCAGAGAGGAATTTAGAGCTATAGCAGACTTGATATGCAAACTGGCTCCACAGAGCCAGGTCAGGGAAGTGGGAAGGGCAACAGTTGTGCATGGTCCCCACAGGCGCCAAAGACCAAGAGGAAGGCAGAGGCAGTGGGCAGCAGGGCACACCTGGCTGGCTTGGTTATGCCAAAGAAGGCAAAGACGGAAGCCAACGGGGGCTCAGAGCAGGTCCGGATGCCCACCTCAGGTGAGTCCCCATCAGTAGCCCTGGGTGGCAACGGTGCCCATGGCACTGTCTAGAAGCTTCATAAGGTGGGTGAGGTGAGCCAGTGACCAGAGTGGGGCTAGGGCTCAGTGGGCAGAGGCTCACCCAGGGGTCCAGTCTGGGCTAAATGACTCTGTCTCAAACAAGGAGTCAGGCTGTGATGGCATACGCCCTTCATCTCTGGTTAGAGGCAACCCTGATCTACAGGTAGAGTTCCAGGATAGTCAGGGCTACACAGGGGAACCCTACCTCAAACAAAAAACAAACAAAAAAGAGACAAAAGGAGCAAAGGCCTGGAATCGAAGTTACATGATAGCTAAATTCGCATGTTACCAGCCATACAGTATCAAGGGACACCACATCACTGTGGTATGCTGCCTGTGTGACCTGCAGCTTCCGTAGTCTTTCTGTGGTTTGGATAATTCCACCATATTTAGATAAGGCTTAGTTGGGGTTGACACACCTTTGACACAGTTGTCACGGCCACTATTAGCATTTGTCAGAGGCAGATCCTAAAGCTCATCGAGGGTCACCTACTGCCTGAAGCCACACAGCAGGTCAGGTGTTGGAGGCCCTGTTACTCTCTTAGTCATGGAGGCACTTGGTCCTTGATACTGCCCCTGTGTCATGTGGACACTCAACTGCCTAGGTGGGCTCTCCCTGGCTCAGTGTAGGATTGAGGGAACCATGTCATAGGTCCTCCAACTTGGGCACACTCCTCTTCCTTGCATCCCTAAACCAACTTGCCCTCCTCACAGGTGACCCTGAGAGCAGGAAAGCAGCCAACCTTGCACCCCAGACACCTGGGGCCTCTTCCCTGAGCCAGTTGGGTGCATATGGGGACAGCGAGGACAGTGACAGCTGAGCCTCCATAGTGGCATCACAGACCCAAGAAGCCAGAAGAGGAGATGGGATCAAGGAAGGCACGCTCAGCAGACGCCTCGTGACCTTATCTGCCATGGGTCCAGGCAGGATGTGGAGAGGCAATGTCTTAGCACCAGGCCTCACTGAACAGACAGCCTGGTCCATTCTGCAGTCCCTGAGTTTGCCCAGCCCCTTCCTGCCACAGATTTGATCATGGGCAAGGGGCAGGGTCTCTGGGGACCATCTCCCAACAAGGCTGCACCCTCAACACAATACTGTATAAAAAAAGAAAATCACTCAATAACCATGTGGACCAGCTGGAGACCCCGCCCTCCTGTGTAACCAGAGTTAACATTCTCCTGGGGTTCCAGCCACACCCCCACCCTCAGCATTCATGATTCATTTGGAATTTGGCATTACGTTAGTCTGTGTTCTGGTACTGTAAGAAAACTGCTGAAGCTGAGTCTGTTGTTTAGAACACAGTGAGCCTGGTACTGAGGGTGCTGGTGGAGAGCAGGCACACATAGCCCAGGCTAGCCTCCATCTCCCCAGTGCTGAGATCAGAAACATGAACCACCACCAAGCTGATCTTAAGCCTGAAGTGTTTGTGTTGGAGCCTGCTTTTCCTTGAAATTCTTCCTTCGTACACCCCTTGCCCACCCCCTCCCAGGCAAGAGCAGGGTCTGTCAGTGGCAACCTGGGGTCTTGTTGGAGCCCTCTCCACCCCACTCCCACCCAGCCTCCCCCTGCTCTGCAGCTGTCATGTCTTCGGAACTGTCAGGTCTAATCTGCCATCTCCATCAGCTCCCTGGAGTCCCCTGGCAACAGGAGCTACCAAGATAGAGCTGACCCTACCACCTGTCCTGGGCACTCAATAGCTGGACCAGCCTGCCTGCCTACAGCCCTCTGCCAGCCTGCTGGTCACAAACCTGGTTCCTGTGCCTTGACACATGAGCTGCTTGGGGGATGGTCTGTGGAGCCTTTAACCGGGGACCTTGAAAGTCAGTGACTTACATCTCCCCTCAGGCTACGGCCTGGAAGGAAATGTGTACTTCCATCTGGAGATGGGGTCATGCCTCCTCCTTCAGCCTGTGGCCCAGCGAAGTAGCTGTACTTCATCTGACTGGGGACCATGGAAGGCAGAGTCATGCCTCCCCCTACTGGGTGCAGTAGACTGGGATCCCTTCTACAAACCTCCAGATGGGAGGTTTCTCAGGGCAAGCCCTGCATCTAGACTTCTTGGGTCTTGGTTTTTGAGTAGTTCTCACTCTGTAGACTAAAGGCATTGGCCACCAGACTCACAGACTGGAGCAATGTACCTCCCCTCCAGTCCCAGTGCATGGGTACACTTCTTCCCAGATTTGTGGTACAGTCAGGGGTAGTCTGTGTGTACTGAGCACTGCTGTGTGCCGCATGGTGAAACCTCACACAGTGCCATCTCATGTCACCAGCCTACCGGGATGTGCAGCCAGTGAAAGCCGGACTGGAAGTCCACTGTGAGACTCCAAGACTCCAGAGGAAGCTGATGAAGAGAGGGTGATTCATGGAGACTGGCAGGGATATGGGGGTAGAATGTTCTGGAACTAGAGTGCAGCAGGTTACATGGCTTTTCTGATACACTATACAATCCACTCATGCTGTTTTTTTCCTTTCTGTTTTTGTTTGGGTTTAAGGTGCTGGATGTGGTACCTAAGTCCTCACCCCCCCACACCGTGATGAACCAATGCTCCCCTCTTAGCTGCCCCATCACCCCCAACCCTTCTAAAAGGGGCAGCAGTGGGGCGTTTGACTTACAATCAGTATCAGTGGGACTCACTTGGGGCCTGCTAATGCCCATGCTCCAAGTCATCCATCGGGATGTACCAGGGCGGCTACCGTGACCCCTGTCCCTCATCAGAAAGTCAAGTCCCAGCTCTTTACTCTGCCCACCCCCCATGCACACACACCACCGAGGGTCCCCTCCAGAGGCTCCAAAGTGAGGGAAAGTCAAGCGCCGTTTGGTTCCGCCTCGGGGCCCCTGATTGCCATTCCTGCCACGCACAATTATCCGGCATCCATGCTGTGGACGAGGCTCCCGTGTGATGCGCTCGCCTGCCCAACACACACTGGACGATTATCTGCACGCTGTGGGGACTCTGTTGGGCCGAGATAGGAGCTGCGGGTAGTTAGGGGACACAGACGACTCGGGATGCTGTGTTCATTCATAAGTCTCAGTTTCCCTCAGGTGGAAAGCAGGGCTCACAGAAGAAGAGAGGATGAACGCTCATTCTGTGAGCAACCAGTACCACCCTCGAGATGTCTGGGCACAAGCTGACAGATGAGTGGCCTGAGTAACACCCCACACTCATAACCTCTTTGTGCCTCAGTTTCCCCAATTAGAACATCGCAGTGGGCAGGGCACTTTCCTAGCATACCGGAAGCCCTGAGTGTCATCCCTAGCACTGGGAGGCTGAGGCAGGAGGACAGGGACTCAGGTCCTCCTTTGCTCCAAATGAGTTGGAGGCCAGCTCTCACCAGTAATTCTGTCAATGCTTCTGGCACTGTTTACTATCTGGGGAGACTAAGGCACACAAACCCGTGGCCATGGCTCAGGCGACTCTGGCTGACTCCTGCCCTGCATTTCCCCTCCTTAGGGTTCCACTTCCCAGCCCGCTCTCCAGCCCTTGGGGTCCCAGCCCGCTCCCCTCCCTCCCCTCGCGGACCCGCAGCTGCGGCCGCCTCCTGCCCCTCCCCCTCGACCGCCACAAAGCGACGGACGCGGCGGTGACGGACGGCGCCTCCCGCCCCGCGCCACCGCCAGCCGCGACCCTGCGCGATGCTCGGGTCTCTCGCCCAATCCCCTCCCGGCCCCGGTCCCAAGGGCGACTCTGTCCCCACGCTGGTGGCCTCTTCCTCTGGAGTCCTCCTAGGTCCGGGTCCCGCCGTCCCCGACCCGAAGTGGCTGAAGGTCTGAGGTGTGCAGGTCTGTCCGTGGGGCGGAGGCGGGACCCGGTGGCACACCGGTGTCCTCGCCCCTCCCACAACCCCGAGAGCCCAGGCCGGGACCCAGGGGTTTATGTCCCTTTGTGCGGCGGCAGTAGGCGGTTCAGGGATTGGGAAGGTTAAGAGGTTGTGGGGGTGTGGAGGATAAAGGACCCGGGGGTTAAGGGATTGGGGAGGTTAAGAGATGGGGTGGGTAAGGGATTCAGAGGTTAAGAGACGGGAGTGGTAAGGGATCTGGAGGTTAAGAGATCTGCGGGTGAGGGTTACTGGCGGGGAGGAGGAGGTTAAGGGAACTGGGTGTTAAGGGAAGGCGAGGTTAAGAGATGGGGGGTAAGGGATCGGGAGGTGAAGGAGTACGGAGGCGGGGTTTAAGGGATCGGGTGGTTAAATGATATGGATGGGGGTTAAGGGATCTGGGAGGTTAAGAGATTGGTGAGTAAGGTATATAGGGGATTAAGAGATGGGGATTAAAATAAGGGAGTAAGGGATGGGAGGTTAAGGAATCTGGGAGGTTAAGAGATGGGGGATTAAGGGATAAGGGGTTAAGAGATGGGAGGCAGGTAAGGGGTAAGGGAGTTAAGGGAATGGATGGGGATTTAAGGAATCAGACCGGTCAGACTCTTGGGAACGGACAGCAGCCCACAGGGAGTACGACCCTCTGGGTGGCCCAGCCTCTGGCAACCTTGTGCATGGAGCTCCAGGGGACAGCTGCACTGACACCATACTATGTCTCCTGCAACTCAGACCACCGAAGTGCATGGTTCCTATAACACTGGGGTCACCACCTGCTGTTCCAGCCTAGGACTCCTGACCCCACCTCCTCCTCCTCTTCCCCCTCCTCTCTCCTTTCGCTTCTTCCTATCCCTGTTTTCTCCCCACTCCTTCTTCCCCCCCCCCTCCCAGGACGAGCTGCCAAGCGCGCATGGAAGCCCTGGTCTAACACCAGCCTATTTCGGGGACACCGATGGCCAAGTGGCTCCGTGACTATCTGAGCTTCGGTGGCCGGAGGCCCCCACCGCAGCCGCCCACCCCCGACTACACCGAGAGCGACATCCTACGGGCTTACCGCGAGCAGAAGGACCTGGACTTCGAGGATCCCTACGAGGACGCCAATGGCCGCCCCGAGCCAGAGCCCACCGGGCCAGGAGACTCTAAGTACGACTCTCCCAGGCACCGGCTGATCAAGGTGGAGGCTGCGGATATGGCCAGAGCCAAGGCCCTGCTGAGCAGCCCTGGGGAGGAGGTGCGTCCCCACCTCAGTTCCTTAGCCCACCGCCGCCATAGAGTATAAAAGCTTCTGGGCTAGCCAGCGGTCCCCTAGAGCCATTCTCCATTCAGAAAGAGGGTGGGCGCTGTTTTTGTTTTATGTGAGACTCGGTGCAAGGTAGCCCAGGCTGGCCTCAAACTCACTACTTAGCTAGCGGACTCCTGCCTCTACTTCCCTAATGTGTGTCACAGGATGGCAGGCGTGTGTCACACTCGAGGTTTATGTTGTGCATGATGGAGGCTGGACCTGGTGCATGCTGGGCAAACACTCTACCCACAGAACTTTGGCCCTGCTTAGTTCTATGGCACTGTTTCTCAGCCTGCTAGCCACACCCCTTTTGTGTTCAACAACCCTTTCACAGGGGCCACCTAATACCATCAGAAAACACAGATATTTACTGTGATTTATAACAGCAGCAAAACTACAGTTATGAAGTAGCAATGAAAATAATTCACCACAACATGAGAAACTCTATTGGAGGGTTGCCACTGCACCAGGAAGTTGAGAATCACTATTCTGTTGGTTTGTTTTGGTTTTCAGACAGGTTCTCTCTGTGTAGCCCAAGCTGGCCTAAAATGCGTAATCGTCCTGCCTCTAAAACCTCTGAAAGAGGGAACATGAGAGAAGGAAAGGACACAGGGAGACAAGACAGACTGGAATTAAACCCTGCCTCATACTCACCAGCTGTGTGACCCTGACCAGGGTCTGTTTTTGTTACCTCACCCATAAAACTGGCTTATCTCCTTACTAAGAGCTTAGGAGCTGTTATTGGAACTATATCAGAGGGCTCTGGGGACTGGGTTTGAATTCTCAAAACCCACTTAGAGAGCTGAGCAGGTGGGTGCAGGAGGGATCCCAGGACTTCCTGACCAGTCTAGCTCTGAGAAATGTGGAATGGCCCAGCACGGGCAGGCAGTGTCACATGACAGGGGCACCCAGAGCTACCCTGAGCCTTTCCCAGCAGCCTGAAGAAGACTCTGAGTACTCGGATCCTTTCGATGCCCAGCCTCAGCCACCAGCCTCAGATGATGGGTACATGGAACCCTATGATGCCCGGAGCAGCTCGAGTGGTGAGTGCATAGGGCTGAGGATGAGGACAGGGTCCTACGGGGGAAAGAGGGTGACCAGTGTCTCCTCTACTCCAGAACGGCCAAGCAGAGCCGTCCAACTTTACGATACTCCTTATGAAGAGGAGCAGAATGTTGAGCCAGAAGACGGGGCGTCTTCCGGCCAGAGCAGGCTGCCTCTGGAGGATGAGAGGCCAGCGGATGAATACGACCAGCCTTGGGAGTGGAAAAAAGATCACATCTCCAGGGCCTTCGCAGGTATGTGCAAGGTCAGGCCCCTTGGAGGCCTCCTCCCTCTACTGCCTCAGCTCTCACTAACATCAATTCTCCTCCAGAGAAAATGCCTTTTTCTCCCTACCCCGTCCTGTGTAGTCTTGGAAAGAGATGTGGCTGTGACTTGTGGTCATTATAGAACCAACCCAATAGGGCGATTGTAGACTAAATACTGTAAGACACTCACTTGTGTGGCAGCGAGGGGTTTTTAGGAGATATCACGTGATAAACTTGGAGTCAGACAGTTTCTTGCTAAATAGAGTTAGGATTAACCTAAAGAATATCAAATAACCCAGGTCGGGAAGGATGAGGCCATGACCTGAAGTGTGGATAGCCCCTGCTTACAAACCAATTACAAACTTCCAACCCATCCCTATTGGCCACACTCCCTGTGCTCTGATTCTGTCAGTCAAGACACGTTGCCCTATTCCATGGTGCCTGATTTCTGGGTGGCCACGCCCCTTCACTTCTGAGGACCAATCACAGCTTCTGTGTCAATTCTGTCCTACCTTAGACTCCACCTCCATCTCCTGGGCTCTGATAGGCTACCCCAAACTGAGATCCCACTGGCTGGCTCCTGTCCCGCTCTTAGCCTCTCACCTTCCTCTCCCAGTACAGTTTGATGGCCCTGACTGGGAACGGACCCCAGGCTCGACCAAGGAGCCCCGGAGACCGCAGCCTGCAGAGCGCGTGGATGCAGCCCTGGCCCTGGAGAAGCAGCCGTGAGTGCAGATGTTAGAGGAGGGGTGGCCCTGGGGACCCAGAAACCGCAAAGGAGCTGGGGTCTTATTCATTCATTCATTCACTCATTCATTTCTTTAGTGAGGGTCTCATGTAGCCCAAGCTGGCCACATTCACCATGTCCAAGGGAATTGTCTGGTTGTGCCTTGGGGCCCTTCCCTCGGCCCCCAGGTGTGTGAAGTCAGCTGGAGGTATCTGTCCCCATACCCAGGTGGTTTCATGGCCCCTTGAGCCGCATGGAGGCCGAAAACCTTTTGTCCCTCTGCAAGGAAGGCAGCTACCTAGTGAGACTCAGTGAGACCAGAGCTCAGGACTGCATCCTGTCCCTCAGGTGAGACCTAGCCTCAGGGCCAGTGCCTGGATACCCCCCCCCCGCCAGTGGGTGGGGCTCCCTGACCAGTGGGTGGGGATTTCTGGAAAGTGGGCAGGCTTTCAGGTGGCTGGGTGGGGCTCCTGGGCCAGTGGTTAAATGGGTCCAACATGGATGAGCTTGGAAGCCTAGCAAGAGATCCAAACCTCAGGGGGCACAGGGAACCAGGGTCCAAGGTTCTTTTGAATGGCCCCTTCCAAAACTTGAAATGCAGCCTTAGGTGTGAAGGCAGATTCTCAGAATGTTCTAGCAAGCACTTGTGTTTGAGGCTCTGGTTCCTTAAGGTGCCTAAAGTGTTGAGTTCAGTATACTACCACATAGCCTGTCATCCCAGGAGGGCAGGAGGATCAGGAGTTCAAGTTCAGCCCCAGCTAGTCATCCTATTTGAGGATATTCTAGGCTATATAAGACTGTCTTAAGAAAAGCAGGGAAGGGGCTGAAGTGGCAGCAGTGGTTAAGGGCGCTTGCTGTTCTTTGGGAGGACTTGGGTTCAGCCCCTACCTCAAGTGGCTCACAAGTCTCTGTAATTCCAGCTCCAGGGAATATGACACCCTCTTCTAACCACGCACACATAGTAAAAATAAAATACAGCTGGGTGTGGTGGTGCATGCCTTTGATCCCAGCACTGCAGAGGCAGAGGCAGGCAAATCTCAGTGACTTTGAGACCAGCTTGTATTACAGAGTGAGTTCCAGGAGAGCCAGAGCTGCTACACAGAGAAACTCTGTCTTGAAAAACGAATAAATAAAATATAGATCTGGGCTGGTGAGATGGCTCTGTAGATAAAGGTGCTTGCTACCAAGCCTGAAGAACTTTGAGTTTGGCTGGGCGGTGGTAGTGCACGCCTTTAATCCCAGCACTTGGGAAGCAGAGACAAACAAACAAACAAAACCTTGTGTTTGATCCCAAGATCCTATATGGTAGAAGTAGTGAACCAACCTCCACAAGTTGTCCCTGACTTCCACAGGTGTACTCCCAATACACATATAAATAAGCAAATAACAAATGTAAAAAAATATTTTTCAAAGGGGGCACAGGAATAGAGTCAGTTTCTTCATTGACTCAACGTTATTAGAACACCTACCTGGGATTGGAGAGATGGCTCAGAGGTTAAGAGCACTGAGTGCTCTTCCAGAGGTCCTGAGTTCAATTCCCAGTAACTACATGGTAACTCACAACCATCTATAGTGAGATCTGGTGCCCTCTTCTGGTGTGCAGGTATACAATGAAGGCAGAACACTGTATACAAAACAAAACAAAAACCCTGCCTCCCCTCTATGAGCTGGGGTCCTGGCACAAATGAACTCAAACTCAATTCCAAAATGGGATTTTGGAAGATGGAAGTCTGTGAGATAGCCCCTTCTACAGAAGTGACATTTAGGCTGAACTGGAAGCCATCAGGGCCAGGGTGAGAAGAGGTCTAACTGCAGAGCTCAGACTGCTCTGGAACAACTCACAGATACCTGCCTGCCTCTGTCTCGAAAGTATTAGGGTTAAATAAATAAATAATATGTTTAACCTGGTTATTTATTGTAAGGAAGAGGTCTCACTATGTAGCCTTGCCTGGCCCAAACTCACTATGTATAACAGGCTACTCTGGAATTTGTATCCATCTGCCAACCTCTGACTCTCAAGTGCTGTGATATTTCTTTTACTTTTGTGCATGTGTGGATGTAGAGGTCAGAGGACAACTTTTGGGGTTCAGTTCTTGCCTTCCACTTTGTGGCTTCTGGGGAATTGATCTCAATTCAAGCTTGGCTGCAAGAGCCTTTACCCTCTGGTCCCTCTAACTGGTCCAGAACTGAGCTTCAAGGAGAAAGATACCCTACAGAAACATGGAGATCAGGAAGTCACTCCTGTCAGTCCTGCAGAGAGGTATTGAGTGGGGCTGTCAAAGGTGTCCCTGAAGTCCCAAAGCCTACCATGCACCTGTGAGAAGGTGGCTGTGGAGAGATGGAGAGGAAAATGGGTCTGGGGGACTGACGCTCTGCCTTGACCCACAGGAGCAGTCAGGGATCCATGCATCTGAAGTTCGTGCGGACCCGGGAGAACCAGGTGGTGCTGGGCCAGCACAGCGGACCCTTCCCCAGCGTTCCCGAGCTGGTCCTGCATTACAGTGCCCGTCCGCTGCCTGTGCAGGGCGCTGAGCACCTGGCGCTGCTTTACCCTGTCGCTGGCAGCCAGAGCCCCTGAGCTGCCAAGCCAGGGAGGGGACAGGGGGACGCAGACTCCCTCCAAGCCAAATCTTATGCCCTCTGGGAGGTTTCAGGGTCCCCCTCGCCGTGGCCAGGCCAAACCTGTAAACGGGCTTTGCCGAGGGGGAGAGGGGAACGAGGGCGCTTGTTGCCAGGTCTGAGGGGTTCAATCCCAGGAACCCACATGGCGGCAGCAGAGAGCAGACATTGTAAGCTGTCCTCTGATTAGCACACAAGGCACACACCATAAATAAATAAATATAATAAAAACGAATTTTAAAACCGTGTCATTCCCTGCTGTTCTTTCGGGGCTGTGGGGAGAGGCCAGGCGACCACTCAGACCTTGGAGTGTTCCCAAAGCCATAGCTAGCACAGGTGCCTGTGGGGACCGAGCAGGGAATGACAAAGCCTTTGTCACAGGGACCCAGCTGGGCTTAGAAGCTAAATGTCCCCAGAGGCGGAGACAACTCCGCCTCATCCCAGCCTACAGCTGAGCCTCTGGCCTCCCAGGCAGAGCAGACATCTTTCCCCTGGGAAATCCACAGGAGTGGGGGAGGGGAGACAGAAGCAGTCCTTGTCACTTCAAGGTGACAGTTGGGTAGGGATAGAACCCATGGTACAGTAGCTCTGACCCTGGGCTCTTACTTGTTTCACTCCAGAAGCCATATGGTGGCCTATTGAGCAGGAAGGGGTAGTCCAGGCTTGAGTGTGGACACCCTGCTTACTGGACAAATAAAAGTAAGGGAAGGTAGGAAATTATGTAATTATAATTGAAATGCATGTGGGTAAGTGCACGTCGTGCAGGTGTCTGCAATTTTTTTGTTTTGGTTTTTTTTGGTTTTTCAAAACAGGGTTTCTCTGTATTGCTTTGGAGCCTGTCCTGGAACTAGCTCTGTAGACCAAGCTTGGCCTCAAACTCAGAGATCCTCCATCCTCTGCTGGAAGTGCTGGGATTCTCCAACGCCCTGCAAGGTGCCTGCAGTTCTGAGCCACCAGAAGTGGCTTAGGGGAATCTGTCTTCGGAAAGGACAGTTTGTACTCTTAACCTCTGAGTCATTGCTCTAGCCCCTATTGTAAAAATATAAGGCAGTCAATCAGCACTCAGGAGGCAGAGGCAGGAGGATCTCTGTGAAATTCAAAGCCAGCCTGGTCTACAGAGCCAGGACAGCCAGGAAAAATCAAAAAGTGGATAGACTCTTCCTGGGTAAAGTGTGTTATGGCAGGCCATCTCCAGGGACCCTGGGACCCACGAATGACTCTTCATCATTGGTAGCACCCCAACCAACACAGCCACAGGCTTTAGCTTTGCGTCTTTAAAGAGCCTTATTAAACCTGGGGTTAGCGGTGCAGGCTTGTCACTACAGCTACTGTTGAGATTGAGGTTGCAGGCCAGCCTCAGCAACGTAATGGGAATTTGTCTCAAAGTAAAAAGGAAAAACAACTTGGGATGAGAATCAGTAGAGACCACTTAGAATCCCCCAGTGATAAGTTTGGGCATAGTCACGGTGGAGCCCCGCCTAGAATCCCCCATGAGGGACTGGGGGCGTGATCGGGGTGGAGTCCCACCAGTATCTTTCAGTGAGGATGGGGGTATATTTCAGGGTTAAGTCACATGGTTGAGTCCCTGGATCCAGGCACAGTACTAAAAGGAGCCTTTATTGACAGTCCCTGGATCATGTCATCGATCTCAGCCTGTAGCTGTTGGATGCCCTCTCCCTTTACAGAAACAGTGCCGCCCTCACATAGCTTTTGTCCAGGTCCACTTTGGGTCTCCAATGCCTCTTTTGACTTCGAGGATCCATCTCAGCTTGTGGCTTGCCCTTACCTCCTAGGGCTTGCTTCTAGAAGATGCACAATGGGGGTGGCTGGGCCTGGGGCTGTGTTTGGAGACCGGAAGTTGATGGCGTGGGGCAGGCTTGGGGAAGGTGGTGGAATAGATAGCTTGGACTCTGTGGTCCCTGGCTGTGTCCTCCTTAGACCGGGCCTGAGGCCTGTGTGGAGTCTCCCGGGGCCGGTAGAGGACATTGCTATAGAAAGAATTTCCTGGGGGCACTTGACATAAATCAAAGGTGACAGAAAATTAAGAGTGGCCAGAGCTGTCTTGGCACGGACCAGGGAACAGCCTTCCCTACTTCACTGCCTTCTCTCCCACCCCTACCCGCTCCCCCATCTCCCTTGGCAGGAAGACACAGTTCCCATCTCTGCCACACGGGGGCGGTAGCACCATGTACCAAGACGCCCGTGAGACTCACCTGGGCAGGTGCTCTCCCGTCGACACCTGCTGAGACCCCACAAGACAGCACCCAGCACCACCAAGGCTGCCACCACACACCCAGCCACCAGAAGCATCAACAGGAGCCCTGGGTGGGAAGACAGAGGGAACTGTGTCGGAGAGGGGTACACGGGATGGGGCAGGTGGGGGGAGGGGAAGGGCTCACCTGAAGGGCGGGAGGTCTCCTTCAGCTGGAGGCCACCTACAGGGAAGAGGTTCCTGTCTCAGGAGGGTGACCACTGTGGAGCCCAGACACCTGCAGCCACTCTCCTCCCTGCCTCGGGATATTGAACCTGCCTGTGTGATGTGGGCAGGTGTCCACACAGAACCTCAGTATCCTCTTCTGAAAACAGGTGAGGAAGCATAAAGGTCTTCTTGGGCTATCAGTGGGGTGTAACTTCGAACTAGGGATTCCATTTGGGATCCCTCCAAATGCTTCTTGAGACCCTCCCTCTTCCAAGTGACTTCTGCCCCCAGCCCCTCACTCTACCTCTCACCCAAACCCCAAATCTTAATCCAAAGCACACTAGATACCCTCACCCTCAGTTCATTCTGCCAACAGTGGAAAGCCCAGGGCTGTATGTGGCAGGATTGGTGATGGAAAGCTGGCGCTCAAGCCCGGCTCACATAGCCACTTAAGGAACATACAGTGCTACAGTCCAGGCCTATATGATTGCTAGGAACTGCAATTCAAGGTGGGGATTTCCTGACTTAGAGAAGACGGGTCATCCCCAAACCCTCCTCTTGCAGGTGCTGATGCGGGCAGGGGTCCCTGGAGGCTGTTGGGGGTAGAGAAGCCAGCTGGGTGTAGCTGCTCCCCACCCCCACAGTATGCTACCTGGCTACTCCTCAGTGAGCCACACAGCCAGAGCACAGCTCCTGCAATGACAACATGCCATGTTTGTTGCTAGCTGAGGAGGGCACACTGGGTGCTCCATCCTGGAGAACGGAGGCTCGCACAACACAGACTGGCAGAGACCACTGAGTGAGTGTCAGGCCAAGGCCACTGGGGTCCCACAAGACCCTGCCATGACAGAACGGGAGGGGTGAGTGCCCTGTCCCAGGGCAACCAAACTAAACACAGTGTGCTTGCCTTTGTTTTGTTTCAGACAGTGAGGCCCAGGCTAGTGCTGAACTCTCGGCAACCCTCCTGTCTCGGCTTCCTGTGAGAGCAGAAGGATAACAGGCAAGCGCCCCTGCCACATCCCACTGAAGTTCATCCTCCAGAAAGCTAGGACGACAGGAGTGTGCCACCACACCTGGTTCTTCTGTCACATACTGATTTTTAGATAGGCTTTCCCTCTGTAGACCAGGCTAGCCTCTCAAGTTACAGGAGGATAGGTCTGCCAATGTGTAAATGACTCTTTATGTTTGATTATGCGTGCATGAAGTGCCAACAGTGACCAGAAGGGAGCCATAGGGTCCCCTGGGGCTAGAGTGACAAGGGCTGTGAGCTGCCATGTGGGTATTGGGAACCAAACCCCAGTACTCTTTAAGAGCAGCCAGTGTTCTAACAGCTGAGCTGCCTCCCCAGCCCCTCCCACAGCTTTTTGAGATAGGATCTCATGTAGCCCAGGCTGGCCTTGAACTTTTGACCCTCCTGCCTCAACTGCCTGCTTCTTTTCTTTCTTTCACTCACAATGGAACCAAAACTAGCTTTGAGCCTGGCTTCTGCCTCAGCTTCCCAAGTGCCAGTGCCACAAGTGTGCCGTGAGTAATTTTATACTCAGCTAGGACCTGAGATTTAGGAGTCTGGGGATTCTAGAGCCTTCCCTACCCTCACACCCCTTCATCTCCATTCATACCTTCCTCTACCAGGACCTTGGTCCCATTGCCCTCGGCCTCCTGCAACTTGGGGATCTCCAGAGTGGCCCGGCACACATAGTCCCCGCTGTCATTGAGGCTTACGTGACCCAGTCGCAGGCTGAGGTTTGTGGGCGGCCACCAGGACAGCTGTTCCCGAGACCCACAGCCCCCAGGGTTGAGGCTGCCATTGGAGATGAACAGGTGGCAAAAAACCACATTGTCCCGGACCCACTCCACACGCAGCCTCTCCCAGGCCTGAGTCTGCTTCACCCCACAGGACAGCAGTATCTCCTCGCCTTGTGTCACCCTCACCAATGGGGGCCACTGCTGCACACTCAGGCTCATAGCTTCCTGCAGGCCTGGGAAAGACACAAGTGTCACCATGGGGGCCTGAGTTCGAGTCCCTAGAACCCTGAAGAAGACAGAACATTGTGGTGTCACCCTGGGCTGGGACAAGGAACCTAGAGGATCCATGAGCTCTCTGCCAGTTGGCTCCCACATGCAAACCTCAGGCCAAGAGACTGGACCTCAGAAAATGGGTGGAGATGGACTGAGGAAGCTTCTGGGGGTGAATATCAGGCCTCTGTACACACATGTACACATACACACACTCACACACATACACACACAAACATACACACAGATGCACACACACACACACTCACTCATACACAAACATACACACTATCACATTCAACCACATACATTCACACAAACACAGACACACAAATACATACACACAAACAGGCACACATACATACACACACATACACATGGACAAGCATATACACATATAAATACATACACACACATAGACATGCATGTGCACACAAGTGCGCGCCACCCAACATAGGGGCCAACATGTTGGGTCAGCAGGTGAAGGCACTTGCTGCCAAGCCCAAGGACCTGAGTTCCATTCTCCACAGCCCACATGGTGAAGGGGAACAGACAATACTGGAGATGGCTTGGTGGTTACTGGGACTTCAGGAGACCCCACACCTCTGTCCTGAGGGGGGGCCTGCACTCACATGCACATATACACACCCCAGTTATATACTTTTTTAAAATGCGGGTAGAGCATGGTGACACACACCTTTAATCCCGGCTCTCCAGAGGCAGAGGCAGGCAGGTCTTTCAATTCCAGCCCAACCGATGCTACATAGTGGGATCCCCTCCCCCAACACCACCAAAAGCAAGAGCCTGTCTCAAGGAAACAAAAGAGTGTGGGGCCTAGAGGCTGGGGTGTTTCGGGTGGTGGTTTGGGTCCTCTGAAGGCCCTGTAAGGACCCAAGCATCCAGTTCAAGGTAGTTCTGATGGTGATCAGACAGCCTATGTGGGCGAGGCAGCAGGAGGGATACACAGGGTGGGAGCCCCCAGGTACTCACCCCAGAGCTGCAGCAGGATGAACACCCAGCCAGAAGACCCCATCCTGAACCATCAGGCCCCAGACTGGCCCTGAATGCCGGGGTCACCCAGCCCCCACTCACACTCTTCCTGTCACAGCATCCACCCCACCCCTGCTGAGGTGACACTGTGGGTGGGGAAACACAGAGGGCAGACAGACATCCTGTGCTTCAGGCTGTGGGGGGAAAGGGGTCCAGTTCCTTCCACCCAAAGCATTCTACATACAAAAGGGAGTATGGGCAGTAGTGGCCCCGCCCTTAGTCCCAGCACACAGGGGGCAGAGGCAGGTGGATCTCTGTGAGTCTGGTCTACAGAGCAAGTTCCAGGACAGCTGCTCCAAAGCCCCACAGAGAAACCCTGTCTCAAAAAGAAAAAAAGAAAATTTAAAAAGGGAGTATGCATCCATCTGTGGGTGCAGAGACTGGGTGTTTGGGAGTGAAAGTCCCTCTAGAAGATACTACATACAGAGGACAGAGGAAGAGCAATAACAGAGTGCCAGGCAGAGGGACATGGGAGAGTAAGTGCTAGATGGGGGGCCTGAGCTGGGCTCAGTGAGCAGAGCAGTTGTCCAGCATGGACGAGGCCTGGTAGAGCACACCCATCATCCCAGCAGTGGAGAGGTAGAGGCAGGAAAATCAAGGATTCAAGGGCAGCCTTGGTTACATAGGGAGCATGAGGCCAGCCTGGGCAATGTGTTGCTTCTCAAAAATCAATCAATACATTAAGATCCTTATATGGAAATAATAGGATAAAAGGGTAGATTCTCCAATTTACTTGAATCCAAAAAAAAAAAAAAAACAACTACTAGTCTTACATATTTTACATTGGTGTGGATTTTGCTTTACTGTTACAAATTTAATGGTGATTTTGTTACACTTTATGTACATTTCTACTCTTGTTTAAGGAGTTGTGTTTATGCAGCTTATTCAAAAACTGTAATGTATAATAAAGAAATATAGATTAGGGGGCTGGAGAGATAGCTTAGTATTTAAGAGCACTGGCTGCTGTTCCAGAGGACCAGGGTTCAATTCCCAGAAACTATATGGCAGCTCACACCTGCCTGTAACTCCAGTTCAAGGAGATCTGACACCTTCACATCAATGCACATGAAATGAAGTAAACAAACAAAATACAGATTAATAGTTGTCTATAATAGTCAAAGTTATAGTCATGTCAGATGTTCTCAAGTTCATACAGAGATGTATTTCAGATAGGTGATCTTCAAACACTTCAAAGACCTACAGAATATGGCATTTAATATGTTAAATAACCTAAGGCTTTTCATGACAGTGAGACCATCTGCTCCTGGCAGCACAAATCCACTCCAAGAAGATGATGGGCATTGAAGAAATGCTGTATGGAGTTTGTGTTCTTTGTGGCAAAAGTTAGCCACTGGGCAAAGAAACTGAGCTTATCTCAATTGACAGTTACTGTCCAAACTAGACCAGCAAGACACAAGAAAGGTGACTGCTGCTTTGCCAAGACAGGGTGGAAGAGTCCTTCAGATTATCCTGGTTGACAGAAAAGTCTGCCATATGTGCTAGGTCTATAGGCCAAAGATGGACGCCGAACATTACAGAGATGTCCTTGTCATTAGGTAATATTTCACCCTTCTGGGGCCTTTGATGGAGTTGAAGTCTATATAGTTATAATTATCATTTTCCTTAGTTATAATAGAAAATAAATTAGATACAAACCTTAGATTCAGCCAGGCTGTGGTGGGTGACACACACCTTTAATACCAGAACTTTGGAGGCAGAGGCAGGCAGATCTCTCTGTGAGTTCAAAGCCAGCATGATTCCAGAACAGGTTTCAAAGCTACTCAGAGAAACCCTGTATCCAAAAACCAAAACCAAACAAAACCTTAAACTATCAAGATAAGACAGATAATAAGTATTTTCTCTATTTTTTTTTTCAAGACAGAGTTTGTCTTTATTGCTTTGGAGCCTGTACTGGAACTCGCTCTGTAGACCAGGCTGGACTCCAACTCACAGAGATCCTCCTGCCTCTGCTTCCCTAGTGCTGGGATCAAAGCCGTGCACCACTAATGCCAGCTACTTTCTCTAATTTTTGCCAAATACAAATGGATTAGATATTGTTACTGTAATTCTTACTTAATAACTCTATTTGTGTGTGTGTATACACACACACACACATACACACATACTTCTCTACTATATTAAGGTTAAATCCTTCCCTTTTAATTAAACAAAAAGAGGAAAATGCAGTAGGATAATATTCTTGTACACTGTAAAGATTTGTCACTTGAATTGGTCTAATAAAACGCTGATTGGTCAGTACCCAGCCAGGAAGTTAGGCAGAGCAACCAAACTAAGGATGATGGGAAGGAGAATTGTGGAAATCAGGAATCCACAGCGAGATGCAGAGGGAGCAGTAGATGAATGTGCCATGCTAATAAAGGTGCTCCTTTGTGGCACAACATAAATAAGGAATATGGGGTAACTTAAAATGTAAGAGCTAGTTAATAATAAGCCTGAGCTATTGATCAAGCATTTATAAGTAATAGTAAGCCTCTGTGTGGTAATTTGGGAAGCAGCTGCTGGATATTTGGCTCTGAGTAGCTCTGAGACAGGAAACTTCCACCTACAAGATTTGCCTTAATTCCTGGGTTCCTAAATCCTTTCCTTGTTAAAGCACTTGGCATTAGGCCAGGCTTCACATGGCTCAAGTACAGGCCATGTCAGTGGATTTCTGTGGTGACTTTGGTTTCTCATGGGTGTGTGCTAGGTGTAGTGGGGCACTCCTTTAATCCCAGCACTCAGGAAGCAGAGGCAAGGGAATTTCTGTGAGTTTGAGGCCAGCCTGGGGTACGTAGAGAAACCTGCTCTGATAGCAAAAACGGGTCACCCTGTTCTCAGTCAAACCACAAGGATATCAGTGACTTCCTGTTGGGCTGTGTATATACAGCTGTCCTCAAGTCCGACTATGGTCAACCAACCCCATGGGAGGTTGGTGCCCCTGTCTGGGTGAACAATACTGTCTGAGCCCATCGAGGCCAATTGTGTCTCTTACCAGTTCTGGGTGCAGAATCGGGGATCCAAGGTCCTAGTCACCAGCTCTGAGCCTCAGCCCCACTCTGGGGTCAGTGGCCACTGCAGTAGATTTCAGAGTCTCACCCAAGCACTGAGTGACCTACTTTCTCACTGGGTACTTCCTGGAATTGTTCTGAACCACAAGGATGGCCCTGTCCTGGGCAAAAGAGCAGTGTTTAAAAGACCCTGGGGTGGATGAGACCCAGACACTGCCAGGTTGGTCCTGAAGCCAGGGCTTGTAGAGAGGTTTGGGCTCGGCAGGGGGTTGGGGGTGGGGGATATAATCTGGGGCTTTGTGGAATGTGTAGAAGCTTGTTCACTAAGTGACTATAATGCTGAAATCTGGTTGGTTGTACAAGCAAGCCTGTGTGCCAGTTCTCAGAGCAGTCTGGGTGCCAATTTGAATAGCAAATGGGAACGGTGTTGGTGTGAATAAGGAGTGGCCCTAAGGGCACAAGACAGGAACCTGAGGCCAAAGCCAGATATCCTGACTTCTGCCTGGCTCTCTTTCATCCCCAGTATCACACACAGGCAAATACCCAGGCTCGGGAGGAGGGCGAGACCAAGCTCCGTACTACATTTCCCAGCAGCGCCGATCATGGGGCGCATGCGCATTGCATGCAGTGATGGAGCGCTGACCGGGGGCGCGGCGGCGGAGTCGGCGAGGGCGCGGAGGGCTAATTGGCTGCCGGCTGCAGCCAAGGAGGCTTGAGTGTTTGGAGAACCAGCTGAGGGGGAGCCCGTGGCAGGGTCGGGGCGACCCAGGGCTGCAGCTATGGAAGACCAGAGGGTAGGACTGGGAGGGATGCGCGGAGCGGGCACGGGGAGGGACCAGGTGATGCCGCAGCGCCCCTCCCCCTCACGGGCCATCCGCACCTTGGCTCGGGTCAACCTGCAACCCCTCCCCCCCTCACGCAGCTCCTCATCAGCTTAGCCTGGGGCTCAGCTAGGGCCCCACCCCACAGATCACCGCTCCCCAGCTTCGCAGTGCCCAGTCCCCCTCCCTGGGTGGGAATGAGAAACCAGAGCCCTCCTCCACCTGCCCAGGGGATCCCCTTCTCCAAGTCCCGCCCTTCACAAGTGGGACCTTAGGCCTGCAACGGGAACTCCATCCACTTCTCAGGTTCTCCTGACCCACGCCTATCACACCTCGCCCAGGAGAAGTTTGTTTCTCCATATAGCATTTTACCCCAGACTAGCCCAGTTGGACTCTGGAACTCGCCTTGCCCAGGCTACCCTTTCACTGCAGTTCATCTTCAACTTTCAAGATGCAGATACTAACCTGGGGTGTTGGTGATGCACACCTGTAATCCCAGCCTTGGGGGGTAGAGACAAGAGATTGATGTGAGTTCCAGGCTAGCCTGGGCTACACAACGAGACCCTGGTGAGGTGGCTCAGTGGGTAAAGTGCTATGCAAGCATATGAACCCGAGTTCAAGTTCCCAGTGCCCGAGTAAGAAATTAGTGCAGCTGGGGACAGGGACATAGGAGGATCCCTGGGACTTGATGGCAGCTAGCCTGGCCCAGGCTCAGTGAGAGAACCTCCCTTAAATAATAGGTGGAGAGTGAGAGAAGGAGATAACCAGCATTGACACCTGGCCTCCACATACCCACAAACCAAACCCATATAAGCTCAGTGTTCAGGCCACAAAACAAGGGTCCATCCCTGAGAGGATGGCTCTGTGCCTCAGTTTCCTTCTTTGGGATGGGGATGTCACATCCTCACCCCAGGCCTGAATCCCTGGAGGGCAGTGCTCACCCACACACCTCTGTTCCTCAGGAAGCCCTAAGAAAAATCATTACCACTCTGGCTGTGAAGAACGAGGAGACACAGACATTCATCTACTCCCTGAAGCAGATGCTGCTGAATGTAGAGGTGAGTAGAGCAGTTGGTTCTGCAGATTTTGGTGGAGGGTTGCATGGAAGACAGGAAGAGGCCAGGAGGTGTCTCTACCCTCAGTCTCCCATCTGCATGACCCTTGCCTTTTTTTTTAATTTAATTTTTTTTGCCCCAGAGTTTCTCTGTGTAGCCCTGGCTGCCCTAGAACTCACTCTGTAGACCAGGCTGGCCTTGATCTCATAGAGGTCCACCTACCTCTGCCTCCTGAGTGCTGGGATTAAAGGAGTGCATCACTGTACCTGGCT